CTAGGCTGACTTCCATGAGATTACAAATGGTAGATAGAACGATGAAGAGACCATTGGGTATTATTGATGATGTGCTTATCCGGGTGGACAAATTTATCTTGCCAGCTGACTTTGTGATCTTGGACTGCGAGGTGGATTATGAAGTACCTATCATATTGGAGAGACCTTTCCTTTCTCCTTTGGGTGATTTCGGGCTTAGGGGCGTGTCCGGATTGTGTTTTGGAGGTCCTTAGCTTATTTAGGCTTGAAATGCCGAAAGTTGAATTTTTGAAGTTTCGGTTCAATAGTGAGATTTTTATCTAGTGGTTGAAATAGAATTCCGAGAGTTGGAGTAACTCCGTAGTGTTGAATGTGGAGTGTGTGCAAAATCTCAGGTCATTCGGACGAGGTTTGATAGATTTTTTGATCGAAAGCGAAATTTGGAGGTTTTAGAGTTCTTAGGCTTGGATTGGAGAGTGATTTGTGGTTTTAGCGTTTCTTGATGTGATTCTAGGGTTGGAATAAGTTCGTATAATGTTTTAGGATTGGTTGGTATATTTGGTTGAGGTCCCGGGGGCCTCGGGTGAGTTTCGGGTGCTTAACGGAAGTTGAATTGGACTTAGGAGGAATTTGAAGGTTGCTGAAATTTTGTCATAATCGCACATGCGGTTAGGGGACTGCAGGTGCGTGATCGCAGAAGCGGTTGAGGAGGCACAGATGCTGCTATGTGCTTGGAAGCCAGTTTCCGCAGATGCGGTAGTTTGAGCGCACCTGCGACACCGCAGGTGCAGTAGAGGAAGCGCAGGTGCGGCCCAGGCAATTAATGAAGTCTCGTAAATGTGCACCTGGGACCGCAGGTGCGGGTCCACAAGTGCGAGGAAATGTTCGCAGGTGCGGAAACCCTGGGCCAGAACCTATATAAGGTTTCAGTCGCAATTTTTGCCCATTCTTTCACCATTTTCAACCGGGATTAGAGCTTTTTGGGAGGTTTTTGAGAGGGAATTCAAGGGAGCTTCGAGGAGGTAAGATTTTGGAATCCAAACTCGTCATTCTGGTGATTTTTATCATTTTAAGTATGAAATTTGAAGGAAAATCAATGGTAAATTGGGGGTTAGGGCTTGGTTAATTGGAGAGCTTTGATTAGTGATTTGAGGGACCATTTGAGGTCCAATTTTTGGTTCTTTTGGTATAACTAAACTCGTGAGAGTGTGAGGATTCCGAATTTATAAATTTTACCCGATTCCGAGACGTGAGCCCGGGGGGCATTTTGGTTATTTTTCCTAATTTCGCGTATTAGCTTAGAATTAATTAGTTGAATTAGTTACTTGAAGTTATATTTACATTATGCAATTATTTTGAATAGATTTGGGCCATTTGGAGTCGGATACTCGTGGCAAGAACGTGGTATTGAGTTGATTGAGCGGGTTCGAGGTAAGTGCCTTGCCTAACCTTGCGTGGGGGAAACTCCCCTTAGGATTTTGGTATTGTTTATATATGAAATACCTTGTATGTGAGGTGACGAGTGCGTATTTGTGCTAATTGTTGAAAATCTTGTTTTCACTAAGTAATTATAACTTTGTTTTCTTTCCCTGTTCATACTACTTTCGATTTTAGCCTACTGTTAGCTTAGGGAAGCATGCCTAATTGACTTAATTGCTTTACTTGCTCAAACTGCTTTATTTGAATTCAGTGCAACATGCTAGGTTAGAAATACCTATTTTTACCTTGGTGTGAAATTTAGATTGAATTGAATATTCTTCGTGTTGTTGTTGTGTGTTTACTTTGGGACTACAGGACGGTATCCTGGGAGATCCCCTGCTTGTTTACTTTGGGACTACAGATTGGTATTCCGGTAGATCCCCCTGCACATTTAGATTAGAACTACGGGAATGCACCCGGTAGATTCCCCAAGTATTGAGTATTTACATTGGGACTACGAATTGGTATTCCGGGAGACCCCCGCGCAATATGAATTGGACTACGGGACGGCACCCGAGAGATCCACTGGATATTTATATTTGGAACTATAGGATGGTATCCTGGGAGATCCCCGCTTGTTACCTCTGTGTTGAGCTATATTCCTTCTGTGATTATTTTGTCTTTGTTGTAGTTGTTGGTGTTCTTACTATCCTGTGTTATTTCGTACTGTTGTACTTAATTATGATGTCTTATTCTATACTGTTATACCTTATTTTTCATATAAACTCAGTAGGGCCCTGACTTTCCTCGTCACTACGCGACTGAGGTTAGGCTTGGCACTTACTGAGTACCGCTGTGGTGTACTCATTCCCTTTCTGCGCATATTTTTTATGTGCAGATCTAGGTACTTCGACTCAGCCCTACTACCCTTGAGGCGAAGCGATTCTCCAGAGACTTCGAGGTATATCTGCCGCGTCCCCCTTATAGCATCAGCCCTTCTGTATTTACTTTTGTTTAGACATTCTGGAGTTAGACACTTGTAGTTATTCAATAGCTTGTGATTTTACGAGATTCCGGGTTTTGGGAAATGTAATTTCAGTTTGAGAGTTGTATTGTATATGTCGAGCGGCATCTTAAACGCTTCATTTTGTTATTCCTGCAGCTTTGGCTAGTTTTGCTTCTTTTTCCGCAGTTTGTTAGGCTTACCTAGTCGTAGGAATTAGATGTCGTCATGACAAATTCACGGGAGGCGAACTGGGGTCGTGACATACAAACTCATTATTATTTGCATTATTAATGAAAAACTCAAATGGGTTCATAAATAATTAGCTTGCCAGCGTCTCTATTTTCTGTTTTATCATTCACTAATTTAGCGACACTCTAAGGAAATATTCCTTGCATCTTTGACTTTCTTTCATTAACCCTTGTAGTGTGGGAGTTGTAAGCACTATTGTATGTGTAACTATTGTTTTTAGAAAATGTGAAGACTTGGCAACATGTTATTTCTAGTAGAAATAATTTCTTTTAATTTTTTTAGTTGTGCGAGAAAACGTGAAATAATATTAGTATACTCGATTTATCACTTAAATCGAGTAAAGAAGCATCTCCATCTTCAATTATCAGCACTATGTTGTACTTTTATATTGTATAATATTATTATTATAGACAACCATAGAAGTTAAAAAAATAAGCAGCAAAAGAATTATCTAATGTTTAAATTTTTTTTAGTCGTCAATACTTGATTATAGTACGGAAACAAAGTGTGAACTCATCAATAGTACTATTAATTAAGGAAAAAGATAATACTTGCAGTACAAATGACAGTACGGGTACTGCAAGCTTTTTTAAATAGTTACGCATACTCCATCTATGTGGAGTATTATTTACTGGAAAAAAAAACAAATTAAAATAGAAAGGAACCAACATCCAAAGTACAGTAGCACATATATTGTCACTCACTAGTACAATGATCTTGCACGCCTTAAACAGTTGTACGAATTCACCATAGCATGAAATTAAAGGTAAAAAGACATCACATATGGATTAACATACAACAACAACAACAATAACAACATCCCAGTATAATCTCACAAGTGAGGTCCGGGAAGGGTAGTATGTACGCAGACCTTACTCCTACCCCGAGGGGCAGATATGCTATTTCCAGGAGACCCTCAGCTCAAGAAAGCACCAAGTGACAATATATTAGTACTATTGATAGACTCATAATATAATAATATAAAATACATAACATACATAAAAGAAATTAAAATAGCAAATAACAGTCATATAAGAGAATATAAGAAATACGAGAGATATGGAAGGTAAGATAATATCCAGCGTATAAAGCCCTGCATCAGTAGCTAACCAGTAGTATCCTAAGCCTAACTCCTAACGGGCTAGTCTCACTCTAGTGTGCTGTAGAAATATTCACAACTTCCCCTAACCTTCAACCTTAATGTTCGACCTCCACAATTCCCTGTCTAGGGTCATGTCCTCAGTAATCCTAAGTCGCATCATGTCATGCTTGATCACCTCTCCCCAATACTTCTTAGGTCTCCCTCTACCTCTCCTCGTACCCACCACCGCCAATCGCTCACACCTCCTCACAGGTGCATCAGTGCTCCTCATCTGAATGTGCTCGAACCATCTGAGTCATGCTTCCCGCATCTTGTCCTCTATTGGGGCCACGCCCACCCTCTATCGAATATCTTCATTCCTAATCTTATCCATCCTTGTATGCCCGCATATCTACCTCAATATCCTCATCTCTGCTACTTGCATCTTCTGAATGTGTAGGTTCTTAACCGACCAACACTCGATACCATACAATATGGATTAACATACATACTTAATAATTGGCTGAATATACACAAAGACACCTCAAATGGGCGTTGTTCCAACTGAACACTTGAAATAAGCTCAAAGTGTACTGACTAGACATATTTTACTGACATGATTAATAGCATGAGTTGCACCCACTACAACATTTTACATATGTAGCTACAAAATACATTGTAGCTAAATATAAAAATTTCCATAGCTAAATACTTTAGCCACAAATTTTTTTCCGTAGCATCCGTAACAAAATGTAGCGAAACTAAAAGTTAGCTATACACTTTATATGATCCGTGGCTAAGGACTTATACTTATTGCTACGAATATTTTCTGCGTTGTAGCTATATTGATAATACTTTTTTGCCACAAAATATATACTCATAGCAAATAATCTTAGTCTTTTGCCACGGCAAATAAACTATATAGCAATCTTTACGTTGAGCCACAAAGTGTTTACTGTAGCAAAAACTTAATTTGTTTGCCAAAAAATTTTTAAAGTTTGTGGCTATTTCTATACCTTAGTTTCGTGGCAATAGTAGTTTTTTCAGCTACAAATTCAAAAACTCATAGCTATGAATTAAATTATTTGCCACAAATATTTAGGTAGCTAAAAATCCATTTTCTTGCCATGAAATATATAAAATTACAGCTAAAGATTTCTTCATTTGCTACGAAAAGTGAGAATGTATAACTATATTACGTGATATATATATATTGCCACAAATTGAAGAATTTGCTACAAGAATAACTAGTCACAATAATTTTCATAATAGCTAAAATTCCAAATATTTTAGATTCCAAAACAAATTCCAATTTACACATAAGGATTTTAATAAAGTAGATAAGAATAAAAAGAATTTACATTCCACAATAGGTTTCAAGTTACATAGTACATAATTTCTTCTACAACACCATCTTGCTTGAGACACTGTCATCGAGTCTTCAACTGCACCATCTTGGTGTTAACTTGTCATTGCTGCTCTAACTCCACCAATCTACCTGTCAATATAAAAGTATGTTAACACCACGAAACAAAAATAACTGATCATATATGTTTAATTTAACAGGCACAACTGAGTTGAAATTAACACAAAGATGTAAGTTCGATTAGTAAAAATGTTGAACTATGCCTCCTCCCAACATTATAACTTTAAAATCTTTAAATTCTCAATCACTACTTATAAAAAATAAGATACAATATTTATTAAATTGCTGAAATAATCCGCAAAATTGTACCCAGAAACCCAAGTGAAGTAGTATAAAAAAATTTGCAAACCCCAAAATATAAAAATATGAGTTTACCTCTTCTGTCCAAGAATAGAGAAGCGATGGGGTTATTTTTTGTTGTTCTCGATCTTCTTAGTTAGCCGTGATTAAAGAACGGAATGGAAAAGTGGGGAAGGGGTGGCGGCGGCGGGAGTGAGGAAGTCAGAGTATAGTATAGGTTTTTAGGGATTTTGCTTTGGGCTAAATGGCCTTTGTCGTTTCTTTACTTCTTGTTATATACTAGTAGTATAGATTTTTGCTTTCATTTATTTCTTAGTAATTAATACACGTAACACATGCAAAAAAATTGTAAGTGCTAACAAATAAAAAACAAAATTACGCCAGAAAACACAAAGAATAAATATTATAAATATTTAATTTATAATGACTAACATAGAAACAATAAATTATTTAAATAAAATGAAGATATTCTAAATTACCTTTTTTCAAAAGCTTCTTTTGTACTATATGATATTGTCAGTTTGTTATATGTTCCTTTTTCAATTATATCAATATTTAAAAAATTTGGTTCTTAATTAGATTTATGATAATTATTAAGTTATCAAAACACCATTAGACCATTAATTATGCTTATTCAAATTGAATACAAATAGTGATCAATGTACTAGATACAAGCACAAAGTAATATTTTTTTAAATTATATTAAAAAATCACATGTAATACTTTTGTTTAATATGAATTATGATATACTAATTAATTTTTTTATAAACTCCTTTATCATACATATTAAATTCTCAGTATTTTGAAATAAAACCTAATAATATTGAAATTATTTAAGTTTATAAAATATCGAATAACACAGACACAACCCCATCTTGTATAATTATATTAAATTCTTAATTTTTTGATTTGATGTATAATATAAATAATTTGTTGTACAATTTAATTGGTATAAAATTATATTTGTTTACTTTCGATGTTATTAGCCATGCACACAATAATGGTATATAGTTTCATAGTTTTTAATTATAATTGAAAGTTATAGGTAAGACTTGTTTAATAAGAATGGTAATATATTAGTTTTTTTTATCACTTAGATTTCAACCATATTAAACGTACTCTTAATTCTTAGTGTAATTAGATAAAACATACTTATTAAAAAAATTATAAATAACAACTTTTATGTATTTACTTTTATGAAATTTAACAAGAAGATAAATATTTTTGTTGAAAATTTTTGTTGACCCATTTGATTAAGGAATAAAATAAATATATTTTGAAATATATATCTTTCGAAACTCATAATATGAATATCTCATTTTTATTTTAGTTTGTTTAATATTTATCTGCTTCAAAGTTTTTTAAAAAAAATTTACTTGCTCGGATGAAATTTCATTTGTAATATTTTTATTTTATAAGGGGTTTAAATATTTCTAGAAAAATAGGAATAACATCAACCCATTTGATTAAGGAATAAAATAAATATATTTTGAAATATATATCTTTCAAGAGATACATATAAAAGAATATTTATTATCCGTATTAATCAATGTCGTTAAATAAAGATTTTCAAGAAAAATATTTATTCGCTTCATAAAATATCATAAATAAGTAAATTAAAACCTATTTATAATTTAATATTATCATTAGTCATTATATTTTTAGAAAATTTGTTACAGATATACCTCATAGAGGGTGTAAGTGTAGAATTTCAATAATATAGGGATGTCAGTTTAAATTTAAAATACAATGGATGTATCTAAAATTGATTAATACTATAGGAGTATTTTCTTTAATTAACCAGAAAAATTAATACAATAATAATGTGAGCGGTAGAAATTCCTATCTCTAAATCTTTTGTTATACTAGTCTTATGATACGCGCGTTGCGCATGTACACTATCTTAATGAAAAATATATTATTAAAATATTATATAATATTATATTTAATTTATAAAATAAAAGTATATGTCTTTAAAAAAAAATGTTGATTTGTGTGCTAATTCAATGAAAGAAAAATTACCGTATAAAATTTTTCAATCATCAGTTAATATATTCAATTATAAACTTATTTTAGTTTTATAATGTCTTCAAAAATTATCATTCTTCCTTCCCAATTTCAATATTCATACATAAACCTTAAAAGATTTATAATTTAATTTTAAAATTCTAATTTAAGAACTTCACCGAAAAATGAATTAGGTTGATGAAATATTAACAATTTCCTACTTATTTTATCTTCTTCTTTTTTCTCTTTAAACAATAATTTTGACTTGACTTTAATAGGGATATTAAATATTAAATTTGGGATTCTTTTTCCTTTTTAAACCAACGAGAATCATATTTGTTAGGGATATATTAACTGAAAAAGGAGTTTCCCACTTGTTCTCTTCTTCTTCTTTTTTTTTTTTTGTTGCAATTTAAAACAAATTTTATTTGTATTTAAATTTTATAAAGGAAAATAACATTTTGCTAAGGAGTTTCGTGCTTTTAATATAGTACTAGTCTTTGGGTACGCGCGTTGCGCGTGTATTATGTGTCAATAATAATAATTTTTTTAGAATTATATGAATGATATCCAAAATATGTGTTTGCGTTATGAAATAAAACTTATTAAAAAATTATGTCTTCCTAAAACTGATAAACATTAATCATTTTTAGGAATTCGGGTAGAGTGGTTCTTACTTTAGTTTATTTCGATACATGCTTCATCCTACAAATATATTATAGTATAATAACTATACTATATATTTCATCGTTACGTAATGACGGATTTAACGATATGATACTATAAAATTTAAGTAACAATTAAAACAAACATCGTATTTAAAGTAACATTACATTTCAATACAATAGGTAACAACCATCCAAACAAGTTGTTAGTCTCGTCTAGCAACATGTTCTGTATAAAGTGATATTATACAGAAATTTAGTAAAAGACTCCTAGTTCTAGAGCATTAATTGGTGCGCAAATTTTGGAAGAAGAATCCTAAAGGCAGAATACATAACTAAACCCTTAACTTGGCCTTTTTTGTCACTTGGACACCTAAATATAGGGGAGAAATTTAAAAATAGCCAGATTTACATCTGGTCGTTCAAAAATAGCCCAATTTCAAAAGTAATCGAAATTTAGCCACTTTTCATGTAAAGATAAATCTGAGCGGAAACATTATTCAAAACCCGAAAAATACGCCAGTATATTATGCTGGAGCTTCAGCATAAGTATAATTGAACTCCAGCATATTATACTGGAGTTCCAGGATAAGTATGCTGGAATTCCAGCATACTTATCCTGGAACTCCAGTATAATATGCTGGAGTTCAATTATACTTATGCTGAAGCTCCAGCATAATATACTGGAGTTCCAGCAAGTATACCGGTCCAGCATAATATACTAGAGTTCATACACAGTTGCACCGAACTCCAGTATATTATGCTGGACCGGTCTCTGTTGCAGCAAAATAGTGGCTATTTTTCATTGACTTGGTAAACGCTGCTATTTTTGAATGACCGGTTCGAAAACTAGATATACCGTGATATTTTTACAAACATAGAGTTGTTCCTATCAGGCCCTTCAACTAAACCACATCTGTACCAATTAGACACTTTGTAGTGACATGAATGAGTGCGTGGGGGAGGGCGCGTGAACATGAGAAAAAAGTTGTTCATTATTATTATATTCTAATATATTATTCCAATTAAAACTAACTTTCACCCTACATTCTATTTCTCTTCTTTTTCTCGTGAACCCATCATTTTTCCTTTTAGTTTTTTTTTTTAAAAAAAGAAAGTTTAATGTACATGGATTTGACTATTCTCATTTGGCATACTTGTTCTCCTTACATGGCACTCATAAGCTACACCAACTTAGACGAGGAATAGAGAGAATAGTGTGATATTTCAGTGAAATCGAAACAAGAAGAAGTGAGATGAAGTTGAACGGAGGAAATTTTTAGTGAGCTTTTTAGGGCACTAAGTCGCTAGAGCCGACGGTCAGGTTTTTCATTTTCTGAAAATGAGTTTCAATTTGTTTTGGGGGTTAATTCTATAAGGTGGAATATTTTAAGGTGTTAGAAACAACTCTAGTATACGCGTTTAATTTTTATAAAAGTTTTTCTCGGATGGTCTACAAAGTGTCTAATTGGAACATATATGATTTAGTTGAAGGGTCTGATAGGAACAACTCTATGTTTAAGTCTCCAAGTGATAAAAAAAGACAAATTTAAGGGTTTAGTTATGTATTCTGCCAATCCTAAATCTACAGTGAGCGTAATTGCTTGGATACTATTTGTTAGCCATATTGATTAAAGTTGCCCACTTATTACGTGTTTGGCACAATTTTGGTAAAGGAATCCTAAGTCGGAATTGACATTAATTTCTGGTTCAATTTTGAAAATTTGATTTATTATATTTACATATTACAATTTTATCCAACATAAAATATACTTACGAAGAGCAAAAAAGGCGAACGACATTTCGCTAAGGAACTTCGTGCTTTTAATATAGTATAGAAGATATAGATATAAATATATAAAATATAAATGTAAATATAAATATAGATATAGATATAGATAGATATATAAATAAGAAAATAATTGAAAATAAATTAAATTTTATTATACATGCTTTCCAACTGTGATTATATCTTGATTTAACTTTGCATAACTATTAAGAAATTGGGAATAACATATCTTCTGTTTAGTAAATAAGATATGATGTTACTTAATTTAATCAAAATATAAGAGAGAAAATATTATATAAAGAAAAATAAATATGAATCTTCATGCGATTGTCACACCTCCTTTTTCTCTACCTACACCCCCGGAAGAGGAGCGTAAATGAGTTTTTTCAATTAAAGGACAATCGGAACGGGATTTGATTATTAATTATTCAGAGTCGCCACTTGAGAGATTAATGGTGTCCCAAGTCACCGATTGAATCCCGAACCGAGGAAAAATATGACTCTATTAACAGTCCGCGAATCAGAAATCCGGGTAAAGAATTCTGTTAACCCGGGAGAAGGTGTTAGGCATTCCCGGGTTCCATGGTTCTAGCACGGTCGCTTAACTGTTGTATTTGATTTTATCTGATTTTAATACATGCTAGCCTATGTGCTTTTTATTTGTAAACCGCTTTTATTGTTATTTATTTTAGCAAAATTGCGACGTTGTGAAAACGTGTTTCGAAACACGTCGCAATCAATGCACCCGTAGTTATCAACACGTTTCGACTTCGCCGAGATT